ATTAGCCTAGTGAGCCGTGGCGCTGGCGGCTTGCAATAGACTTTGAAGTCTCTTACACTGACATAGTGTGAATAATAGGCTTCTCATCCCAAGTGAAATATACCCCCTGGATGGCGTAGACATCTCTGACTTAGCATATCTCACACTGAACTCCTGAGCCCCCCATCACAGAATCTTGCTTTACCAACAGCAATCTTGCTTATCTGACCCTGCTAACTCATTCCTTTTAGTTCTCCAGCCAGAAATCTTGGGGTCATCCTTGACTGTTGACTTACTTACCTAGTTTTTAAGTCAAGGAAATCCCACTGGCCCTACCAGCTCAATGTATCTGAAGGGAAGACCACAAATCTGCTTCTCACCAGCTGCGCTTCTCCCAGCTCTGTCGAAGCCCCCATCGTTTCTTGCCTCGATCCTTACAAGTGCTTCACCTGATTTACCTATGCGTGGGTACAGTGATCCTGAACAGAGCAGCCTCATGGTCCTCCCAGAGTGTGTCGGATCACATCTCCTCTTTACTCAGAATCCTCTGGTGGCTTTCTTATTCCAATCAGAGGGAAAGTCAGGCCTCTAATTACATACGAGTCTCTGTTGGATCCGGACTCGTTACAAGTCTGCCTCATGCCGTCCTGTTCTCCCCCTCATGCACTTTGTTCCTGTCACAGGGCTTTTGCACTAGCTGTTCCCACAGCCAGGACTGCTCTTCCATTACTCCTCCTCCTTCAAGTCTCTGTTTCACTGTCATCTTCTTGGCTAGGCGTTCCCTGACCTCTAATAAAGCTTATACTACTCCTCAAATCCCTAACTCTGTCCTGTTCATTTTCCCTCCAAAGCACTGATCACCACCACATGTTTTGCTTATTAAATTTATTGTCTATTTTCTCTTCTACAATGTGAACACCATCAGGCCAGAAATGTTTAAGTGATTTATTCACTATCTCTGCTGCCTCGAATCCAGTCAACATGTGTAGCCCTGTAAGTTATACACTACTCCAGGTTAGAGCACACAGTTCACAGGGGGAATGGCGCCCCCCCTGTGGTTGAGCCCCATGGGTGCCCAATAAACAGTTGTTGAATTAAAGCAAAATGTTCTCCCTGCTATTTTAACTACACCTCTGTCAGTATACTCTAGAAAAATCCCTAGTATAGAAGGAACACTTGGAGAGTTTGGAGAACCACAGCCCAAAGGAAGATATTTATAACAGCTCCCAGACTGTGAGTTTAAAAGTACCCTACCTACAGGACCATAAATACTGTTTACCAACCAAACAAAGAAGTTTGAATTCCACTGGAGGTGGGCAAGTTGGCTATGTTTGGGAAGTCTACATAATCACTATTTTCCCACAAGATAATTGAACAGTAAGCGTTACTGAAAGTAATCTTGGAAGAATTCCCAGTTTCACAGTAGGAAAGGAGAAGTTTACATCTCCAATTTTGTTTTGAGAATCAGCACACACAACAGCTCATGCAGCTCTTTTGTCTGGTTGAGATTAAATCCACTGCTTCAAAGCAGTTGTGCATACTTCAACAAAATCTGCCCACCAACATGTCCTATCCCCTGCCATTGTAACATTCTCCCCTGGTGTGTGTCTGCTACAGCTGATTACGTAGACTTTTAGACGTAAGTACATCAGTCTCGCTAACTTCCTGTGTGAATTATTGAGGAATGACGTCTTGGTTCCCTCTGTAGATGTTTGATGATGTCATAGACTTGACTTTTACAATGGTGAGTTGTCAGGAACCATAGCCTTGGGGTAGAAATAAGGAGGGAAGTCTGCAGGAAACTTTCCCAATAAAGGACAGGGACAATGGTCTTTGAAACCTCAGTAGTCACGACCATGACCTGGAGGCTGCTTACTCATGTGGTTCCTGACGTTTAATGAGTGAGTCACACATAATGCAGACACCCTTGTTCTTCCTTAGTCACCAAAAGGGTCCGGTTCCCCACTGTTGTATATTTTCTGTGTTAAGAGTTTAAAATGACCTAATGCTGACAGACAGTATTTGTATGTACTGGCTGAGCATGTTCTTGTTAAATGGCATAGAACTTTCCAGATGCTTGCCTTTCTCTCCTTCCTGTCTGATTAACTTACAGGGTCACAGTTTTCATTCCATTAGTGGTGATGTCAAAACCCCTCCAGAGGCACGAGGTTACCAAATCCTGGATTCTTAGATGAGGTGGGAGGAGGTAAGGCAGGGGCTAGGGAATGATTAGTCAATAGGATACAGCAAATAGTCTTTGGTACCTTCTCATGGGGAACGAGATAGCTTGTGTACAGCTTGACAGCTGGAGGCTCACAGAACCAGTGGTTAAATTTCAGATCAGAAGCACTAAACGTCTGCTTCTTGGTGGGTCTCCAGCTATAGTGAGGATGTACAAAAATGTACAGAACAAAAGTCAGCCAAATTACCACACTTGGCTTTATCTGGGCATCCCTGTTCCCACCACGTGGGTATGTGCTTATAGCATGGCCCCAGCTGGTCTCTAGTCTGCAACTCCTTTATACACTACACAGTGACTCACTCTTTCATAATGAAAAACTTGTCTGGCCCTCTGTTTCTTGTTTCTACTCTATGCTAATTCTGGAACCAAGCTCATCTCTTCTCATAGTTTTTCCAAACTTATGCCCAAGCTTTGTGCAGCTAAGAGGGAGGACAATGGCCTAGGAGTTAAGAATTGAATCTCTGGGACTGGTGCTCTGGGTTAAGCCAGCATCTGCGGTGCTGGCATCCCATAGGGGCGCCAGTTCAAGTCTCAGCTGCTCCACTTCCGATCCAGCTACCTGCTACTATGCCTGGAAGAGCAGCAGAGGATGCCCCAAGTGTTTGGGCCCCTGTACACATATGGGAGATGCAGATGAAGCTCCTGGCTTTGGTCTGGCTCAACTCTGGCCATAGCCATTTGGAGAGTGAATCAGCAGATGGAAGATCTTTAGCTTTCTTTCTCCCGCTCTCCCTCCCTCCCCTGTCTCTGTCTCTCTCTCTCTCCCCCTCCCCCCTCCCCTCCCTGTGTGTGTGTGTGTGTGTATAATTCTTTCAAATAAATAAATCTGTAAAAAATTTAATCTCAACTGGGCACACCGTGAGTGAACTGCTATCTCTCTGTGTCCCAGTGATTCTATCTGTAAAATGGAGATCAGGCCATCTCAGACTTGTTTTGCTGATTAAATTAGACACTATTTAGAAACATTATTTGGGGCTGGCACCATGGCTCACTAGGCTAATCCTCTGCCTGTGGTGCCAGCACCCCGGGTACTGGTCTCGGTCGGGCGCTGGATTCTGTACCGGTTGCTCCTCTTCCAGGCCAGCTCTCTGCTGTGGCCCAGGAAGGCAGTGGAGGATGGCCCAGGTGCTTGGGCCCTGCACCCCATGGGAGACCAGGAGGAAGTACCTGGATCCTGGCTTCGGATTGGTGCAGCGCGCCAGCCGTAGCAGCCATCTGGGGGGTGAACCAACGGAAGGAAGACCTTTCTCTCTGTCTCTCTCTCTCGCTGTCTAACTCTGCCTGTAATAAAAAATAAAAATAAAAAAATAAAAAAAAAACAACATTATTTGGAAAGTCTTCTACCTAGTGCCACTTGTTGGAAGATTTTCTGTGATGTAGGAATTCCTGACAAGCTCAGGGGCAGAGTCACACTTCCTATGCTAGCTTCTTGCTGTAAGGTGCTGGTTTGTTCCCTACACAGATTCTATAGTGAGCTTTTGTTTAAAACAAACTAAGTTAGGTTCATGGTAGGTATGTGTTAATGCGGGCTACAATTTTCATCCTTCAGTGTCCATAATGTCCATTTTTGCATCCTTTGACTATCTTAATGTTTTTCCCATTTGGGAAACTAAGTCATATCTCTTCATCTCACTTGTATTTTATTTTTCATATATCTTGAACAGTTTTATTAGACTTAGTAGACAAGTCTTTTGTATCCATTAGAAAACTTAGAATGGGCTACATGTCACATGACTGATAGTGACAAAATGTTGATATAGAGGCTCACAGATAATCTAATCCTTCTCAACACTGACGAGAAAAAAATGAAAAAAAAAAAAAGATGTTGCCTTAGTAACTGGATGTTGCTGAGTAATTAACCTGCTAACCGTTGCACAGGCGGTTTCTGCCTAGCTCTCTGTGGTCAGAGATGGCAGGTGATTGCTTCTACAGGGAAATATCTAGTCTGTAGTTAGAGAACTCTGTAAGAAGTAAAACGAACCAGCGGAAGGATATGAGCACCAGCCTCATCCTGTATCCTGCACATATATGCATTGCTGCACAAGAAGAGCCCTGTAATATAATTGTTCTCTATTTTTGCTAAGTACTCTCTTATAAAGACAACAATCATAAAGCCACATAGATTAATCATCATCTCCCTAAATGATAACATACTAGCATGAAAGTGCTTAGGGCATAGGTAGCTCTCAACAAATGTTTGTTCCTGCTCTTGGTTTTAATATTGTTTCATTGTTGAGAGCTGTGCTGTCTACCAATATGGTAGCCACTAATCATGTGTGGCTATTGAGTACTTGAAAGGTTACTTATCAAAGTTGAGATGTACTCTGAGTATAAAACATATTGACTTTCAAAGACTTGATAGGGAAAAAGAAAAATCAGTCATCAATTTTTGAGTACATGGTAGTTTGGATACACTGAATTAAAATATATTACTAATTGAAATATGTTATTAAAATGAATTTCACTGTCTGCTTTTTGTTTTATTAGTGTGGCTGATGGTTAGAAAATTTCAACTTGTATTTGTGGCTTACATTATGCTTCTGTTGGGCAGCACTGCTCTAGAGAGTCCTCCAGGGTGTGTGGCCGAGCAGTTATATTGTAGGACTTAGGAAGGATCTTGGTAGCTAAGGAGAAAGGAAGGAGGCCAAAGAAAAACAAACGTAACTCTGCACTTAAAAAATTTAAATTGTTTTTCACTGATTTTTCACTTTTATCTTTAAAAAACTAAACAGTTTATGTCTAATAATAATAATAATAAAATGAAAACTCTTGTTCCTAGGTTACTGGTTGGTTCACCCTGGAGTGGTTTTCCTGAGAACCGAATGGGAGATGTGTACAAATGTCCTGTTGACCTACCCACTGCCACATGTGAAAAGCTAAATTTGCAAAGTAAGTTGTAATGAGCTGTGTGATTCTTTTTTTCTTTTACCAATAACAAAAGTGTATTTGTTATATACTCAGCAGAAAAATAATGGCAAAGGCAGTCATCATTCCATCTTAAAGACACAGAGACAGCTTTTTTCCTTTACCTCTTCAGTCTTATGGGGCCCAAATTGCACCTAAATTTCCAAAGTGGTTTGAAAGCCAGATTCAACAAGATGCATAGGTAATGTTCTGCCCCCTGGACCATCTACTCCAAGGCTGAGGACGGATTTCCACCAACATTTAGGATTAATTTGCTCATCACTTGAAGAAAAATGAGGCTGCCAATCTTTCTCCCTCCTCTTCTCAAAACCAGAAACAGTACAGAAAATCAGTTCCACTTCTGTGTTTGGAGGTACCAACAAGAACTCTGTATTTCTGACCATCTCTAAATGAGTACATTCTAATAAAAATATCCATTATTTTGAATATCACTTGCTATTGTAATTACCCACATCTCAAAGGGTTTGTATTAATGCAAGAAATATTAAACATGCAAGACTAGAAAGCTAAATGAGTTATATTTCCATAAAATATTTCCTGATGAGAGTAAAAGTCACGCAGTTTATCATCACATCAGCAATAGCAACTTTCAAAAGTACAACACTGAGTGGTCAAGGAGTTCTTATGAATTAGAAAAGGATTTTAAGTCAATATGCAGTTATGTACATGAAGGGAAAGGACTTGGAAAAATATTACTTAAAAGTTGGAAATGGGGCCGCCATGGTGGCATAGAGGGTTAAGCTGACACCTGTATGGCTGGTATCACATGGGCGCTGATTCAGGCACCAGAAGCTCCACTTCCCATCTAGCTCCCCATAATGTGCCTTGGGAAAGCAGTGGAAGATGGCCCAAGATCTCGGGTCCCTGCACCCATCTGGGAGACCTGAGAGAAGCTCTGGGCTCCTGGCCAGCCCCAGCTGTTGCAGCCATTTGGAGAGTCAACTAGCAGATGGAAGATCTCTCTTTTATCTCTCCCTCTCTCTAACTCTGCCTTTCAAATAAATAATCCTTTTTTTAAAGATTTATTTATTTATTTGAAAGAGTTACACAGAGAAAGAGGAGAGGCAGAGAGACAGAGGTCTTCCATCCGATGGTTCACTCCCCAGTTGGCTGCAACAGCTGGAGCTGTGCCGATCCGAAGCCAGGAGCCAGGAGCTTCTTCCGGGTCTCCCATGTAGGTGCAGGGGCCCAAGGGCTTGGGCCATCTTCCACTGCTTTCCCAGGCCATAGCAGAGAGCTGGATTGGAAGTGGAGCAGCCAGGATACAAACTGGCACCCATATAGGATGCCGGCGCTTCAGGCCAGGGCATTAACCCCCTGCGCCACAGCGCAGGCCCCAATAAATAAAGAATCTTTAAAAACTTGGAAACGAGCAATAATGTTCTTACACATTTCTGTATCCCTAATTTCTAGTCTCATTTTCGGCGTTTAGTTGGAGTTAAACACATTTTTGATGAAGTGGAAGGATTTTCAGTGACGGCAATTCTACAGAGATGGAAGCCATGATTACTGCATAAAGATTGAGGCTGTAGGAGAAATAGATTAGTAACCTTCAAATATTTTGAATACTGTACCCACAAGATATTAAAAAAAGTTCATGAAAATGCATATTACGCAAAAAGCTATGCATAGATTTCAAAAATTTTTGCATGCATTTTTGATTCCATTTTCTGTGAACTTTAAGTAGTACACTGGGGCCGGCACAGTGACATAGTAGGTTAATCCTCTACCTGCGGTGCTGGCATCCCATCTGGGTACCTGTTCTAGTCCCAGCTGCGCCTCTTCCAGTCCAGCTCTCTGCTATGGCCTGGGAATGCAGTGGAAGATGGCCCAGGTTCTTGGGCCCCTGCGCCCACTTGGGAGACCCAGAAAAAGCTCCTGGCTCCTGGCTTCGGGTTGGCGAGCTCTGGCTGTTGCAGCCACTTGGGGAGTGAATCAACAGATGGAAGACCTTTCGGTCTGTCCTTCTCACTGTCTGTAACTCTATCAAATAAATAAAATTTAAAAAAGAAGAAGTACACTTTGTGGGGCCAGCACTGTGGTGTAACATGTAGGGCTGCTGCCTGCAGTGTGGGCATCCCATGTGGGTGCTGGTTCAAGTCCTGGCTGCTCCACTTCCAGTCCAGCTCCCTGCTGTGACCTGAAAAATCGATGGAGGACAGCCCAGGTCCTTGGGCCCCTGCACCTGTTTGGGAGACCCAAAAGAAACTCCTGGCTCCTGGCACTGAATCAGCACAGCTCTGGCCAGTTGGGCAGTGGGCCAGTGGATGGAAGACCTCTCTCTCTCTCTTCCTCTCCTTCTCTCTCTGTGTAACTCTGATTTTCAAGTAGATAAATAAGTCTTTAAAAAAAAGTATACTTTGTGTGTTTGGTGTAATAAAATATATACATTAGGTATGAATTTTCAAAAGTTTTATTGTATCATTCCCTAATATATCATCATTAAATTTTTGTACATTGAGGTATATATTTTTGTTTCTAAAGCTATATACATTTACTGAAATTTTATTAATACATTTATATAGAAATATGCTTAAAAGTAGAAACATATCTTGAAGTTCTATCATTTTCTTTCTGCCTGTTGCAAATCATATTTTTTGTAATTTCCTCACCTAGAGTAAAAATTTGGCAGGGTCTCGGGAAAAATAGATGAAGAATTAGAAGTGAGCACCTAGTGAACAAGTACATGGAATGTGAACTCATCTCTTTCTAGATGTTGAGTGGTGCAAGAGAGCTGAGAAAAACAGTTCAGTGAGTTGGTAGGACCAAGAGAATATTTTCCTGGTGAAGAGACGATCGTTTTTGTAGGAGAATGGCAGAAGATAGTTCAATGGGGCTCATAGTTGAGGATACTTAGCTGAACGGGATTAATGTCACTATTACCTGGGAAGAAGAGGGCCTATTAAGGTTTCCTTTGGGCCGGCACCGTGGCATAGTAGGTAAAGCTTCTGCCTGTGGCACTGGCGTCCCATTGGATGCCAGTTTGAGTCCTGGCTGCTCCACTTTGGTCTAGCTCCTGTCTGATGACCTAGGAAGAGCAATGATGGCCCAAGTGCTTGGGCCCCTGCGCCCATGTGGGAGACCCACAGGAGGCTCCTGGCTTCTGATCGGCTCAGCTCAGCTCTGGCCATTTAAGGAGTGAACCAGAGGGTGGAAGACCCTTCCTCTCCCCCTCCCCTCTCCCCCTCCCCTCTCCCCCTCCCCTCTCCCCCTCCCCACTTCCCCTCTTCCTCTCCTCTCCTCCTCTCTCTCTCCCCCCACCCCCACCCCCTTGCCATCTCTGTGGCTCTGCCTCTCAAATAATATTTTTTTTAAAAAAAGAATGGTCCTTTTACTAGAAGGAAAGAGAAAAATAGGAGTTTTAAGAATGGCACTTATGTAATGATGAGAGAAGTTGAAGGTGACTCTGAAACTAATGCATCCTCTGCAGTAGACAGCTTGTTCTCCCAGAGTGATGGCACCTGGGCTCAGGTGGGAGTCTTCAGAAGGTGGGTGAAGTTGAGTGGGAACTGGGGGAAGGAGTCCAACTGAGGACATGTGAAGGGGGCAATGATAGCTTGGCAGAGGTTAAAGACCACTAGCAAAAAAGACATCACCAAAGGATGTCAATTGGGCAGTCACCCAGGAATAGATACAGCGGCTGATGCCCTTGTTCAGTGGGAATTAAGAGGTTGGGTGGATTCATTTCTTATTTTCATGTGTGGGGTCACTGTTTCCTTTTAAATTTCACCTAGATTCTGTCAGATGACATTTTTTTTTTGATAACACTTGGAGGATATTTTTACCCACCCCAGGGGTGTGTGTGTTGGGAGCAGGGGGCTGGGGGCAGAGAGGTAGGGCATGAGACACGCAGCCTGACTTTGGGGGAAAATGGAGGCTGCAAGGAGGAACAAATGATAACCTTAGATGTTCTTGGTTTGGCCAGAATGTTGTAAAAAATTTCAATTTTAATACCTCTAAATTATGTGTTCTCCAGAGTCCACGCCCTAATGTCTTTTTTTTTGACAGGCAGAGTGGACAGTGAGAGAGAGACAGAGAGAAAGGTCTTCCTTTGCCATTGGTTCACCCTCCAATAGCCTCCACGGCTGGCACACTGCGGCCGCTGCACCGTGCTGATCCAATGGCAGGAGCCAGGTGCTTCTCCTGGTCTCCCATGGGGTGCAGGGCCCAAGGACTTGGGTCATCCTCCACTGCACTCCCGGGCCACAGCAGAGAGCTGGCCTGGAAGCAGGGCAACCGGGACAGAATCCGGCATCCCGACTGGGACTAGAACCCGGTGTGCTGGCGCCGCAAGGCGGAGGATTAGCCTATTGAGCCGCGGCGCTGGCTCCCCTAATGTCTTATACTCTGCAGCTTCACACATTAAAGTTATCATACAACTCAACTCTAGCACCTGAATGCATGCCACTAAATTCAATGCTACATATAAACATGTTTTCCTAACATCTTTAAGTAAATCACTTTTTCATATTTTTTTCCTTCTGAAAAAAAAAAAGCTTCAACAAGCATGCCAAGTGTGGCGGAGATGAAAACCAACATGAGCCTTGGCTTGACCCTCACAAGGAACGTGGGAACTGGAGGATTTCTCGTGAGTGCTTCCTTTTCACATCCTCATTCCTCTTGAGAAAGTTTGGAGTCTGTGTCTTCTCGCCTTCTCTTCCATCAGATCACAGCTTGCTTTCTGCTATTGGGATGTTCAATGTAAAATGACAATTTTTTGACGTGTAGACTTCTTAGGATATTCAGCAAAAGGGGAACTGAATGAACACAAATTCATTGCCCTTGAAAATTATATAGTATATATATATATATAGATAATGGCAGAACCCCAGGTCTGCTGCCTGCAGGAACATTCAAAAATTGGTACTACTAATTCAGAAAGACTCTCGGGTCCACTTCCTGAATCATTCAAGATAGATACTCCTCATTCAGAAAGTAGGTTTCAAAGTTAAAAAGTATGTTTTTAACCATATCCTACAACCACTGGCTAATCTGAGATTAGTTAAGGTATGGCGTGGTCTCAATATATCTCATGTACCCTCATTTAGTTTCTAAGATGATATGAAGACATCATGAATCAGTGAAATAGAATGCCTGACTTAACAAGTGATCTGGAAACAATTAGTTGATTTGCATACCTAAGTGAATTAGAGAATTAATATGAAAGTTAAAAGAAAATGAAAATTTTCTTAAGGAGGTAAGAATTCCTGAGCTTAGAACTAATAAAAATAATAAAGGAAATTTGTAGCAAGACACACCAAAAAATTTAAAGAAAATACTCATAAAAGTCTAGTCTGAAATGTTCACTAATTCATATGTGTATATCCCAGTTGTGTAGCCCTGTTAACATTTTGTTTTGGAAAGTCTAATCTAGCTTTACATCAGTTTTACTTATACCATTGACATGCTAGCTAAATACTGTGTTTTAGAACTCTTCTCAAAATTTCAATTTTCAACAGTCACTGTACTTTTACTAATACTCATAGGTATTAGTATTCGTATGACCTCACTAGCACTATATAATTAGCTATTGCTTATAATTATGTTATTTCAGTGCACAAATGAATGTTGCAACTTTGCAAAAGTCTTTATAAGAATGTTGCCTTCATTTGTTTTGCTTTGTTTTTTTATTTAAGGTTGAATAAGAGGAACCTGTTGAGAATTAGGGGGATTAAAGAATGTGCCTCAAAATTTTTAATCTATAACTTCAGATAAAGTATAATAAAAATGCAACAGAATTTGAGAGATTAACACTGTAGCAAGCAGAGAGGCAGAAAGAGGAAGAAAGAAAAAAGCGAGAGTTTCCTTCACATACCTAAAAGGTCAAAAATCATAAGATACTATTAAGAATTATGTGGAAAAGATTGACAATCATCACATATTTTTGAAACTTCTTAAGGTCTGGGCTTAAAGCTGGAATGTAGTTCTGGCACTAATAACTGGCATAATTCTAATTTCAACTTCTCAGTGCTGTTTCCCATTGCTTTTAAAACAAAAACAATCTTTTCTTGAATATTGCATGAGTTATTTTTCAAGGTTATTAAAAAAAAAACCTCAATTAGGGATATAGGAATCAATAACTGGTTTCTGTTATTTGGTAAACTAACCAAAGCAATGAATAATGATTTTCTCCAAATTGGCAAAATGAACCAATTTTATGGGAGAACTGCACAGCTGCTTCTAACTATCTGCTAAGTTACTAACAGTTAAACTGGGTCAAGCAGATTTCCTTTTATTTTTCCCATTGCTTCTTGAAAGACCATACTTCTCTGCTCAGTTTTTAAAATTGACCCACAGCTTTACACACTGTTAAATTTTGTAGACTTTTTGTTAGGATCTTGACAAGCCTTTTTTTTTTTTTTCATCAAGACATCTTAATATTTAATCTTTCTCATGTGATTTGGTCATGAATTCGTCCAGAGTTCTGGGTATTTGAGGGCTGCTAACTAGAGAAGTGGGAATGAACTGATGACGATAGTAAATACTGGAATTTTCCTGGTGTGGCACAGAGACAAGTGTCAGCCAGCTTGGGTGGTGGAAGTCAATTAGGAAGTGGAATAGGGAGCTTTGAAGTCCTCCAAGGAAAGCAGTGCTCTACAGCTCAGCCAAATGCTGCCACTCCATGGACCTCATTTGTATCTGTGTAGCATACAGTGTTCTGGGTTTTTTGGTTTGTTTGTTTAGTGTTTACTTGTTTTCACCTAATTGAAAGGCAAAGGCAGAGTCAGAGACATCTCCCATTGCTGTTTCACTTCCCAAATACCTACCGCAGCTAAGGTTGAGCCAGGCCAAAGCCAGGAGCCTGGAATTCCACCTGAGCTTCTCCTGTGGCTGCAGGGGCTCCAGTTGCCTCTCAAGATGCATTAGCAGGGGCCAGTGCCACGGCTCACTAGGCTAATCCTCCGCCTTGCGGCGCCTGCACACCGGGTTCTAGTCCTGGTCGGGGCGCCGGATTCTGTCCCGGTTGCCCCTCTTCCAGTCCAGCTCTCTGCTGTGGCCAGGGAGTGCAGTGGAGGATGGCCCAAGTGCTTGGGCCCTGCACCCCATGGGAGACCAGGATAAGTACCTGGCTCCTGCCATCGGATCAGCGCAATGCATTGGCTGCAGCACGGCGGCCGCGACCGCCATTGGAGGGTGAACCAACAGCAAAGGAAGACCTTTCTCTCTGTCTCTCTCTCTCACTGTCCACTCTGCCTGTCAAAAAAAAAAAAAAAATGCATTAGCAGGAAGCTGCCTAGAAAGCAGAGTAGCTGAGTCTGAAGCCAACACTCTGATATGGGATGCAGGTGTCCCAAAAAGCAGCTTAATCCACTGCACCTTGAGTCCCACCCTGCATGGAGTGGTTTTTAAGCTGTGAGTTTCCCTATGAAATTTACCTTCTCTGACTCTCATTGGGAAACTGGGGAGCCTGGCCCTGTTTCACACCAGTGAGCGAGCAGGGACCCCAGTGACCTGCCTCTCTACATGACGCGTGGGTTCATCATTCCCCAGGGTAGCTAGACCTGGCCCAAGCCCTCTTGGAGGGTGCCTGCCAGGCCTCTGGGGTCATGGTTTGTGCTGAGCAGTCTTAGGTGAAAGAGACAGGAGGAAACCCTTGCTTAGCAATAACAGCAACAGATGGTGGCTAACGGACACATTGCACTTGCTGTTTACCTGGCACTGTGCAGTGTTTCATATCCTCGGACCTGTTTACTCCTCAACACACTCTTAGAGAGGAGGTATGATTTTTCTCAGTGTACAGATGAAGACCCTGAGGCTTGAGAAACAAAAGATGAACTTTGTGTTCGGTTTCCTCCTGCGTGTTCTCTGTAAGAAAACCACCATTTCCTCTGGCTTAGTAGGTGAGCTGGAGGGCTGCTTGCTGCCTCGCATGGCAACTGCCCCTGTCAGTCCCAACTCTCCCTTCCGGAGGCCTGCTGGAGGGCACAGAGCAGCTGCCTGCCTCTCCATCCTTCTCTCCACAGTAGACTCTCACTTAAAATGGTTTTTGACTTGTTAATTTCAAGAGTTGACAATTCCTGGAATCTTGCAGAAAAAAATGATCTCTGTGCTGTACAACTGGAGAGCTGAAAGGTGAGCATTTTCTACGTGCTTCCATTCATTGTCTTTTCATTTCTTTGCAGACATGTGGTCCCCTGTGGGCACAGCAGTGTGGAAATCAGTATTACACAACCGGCATTTGTTCTGATGTCAATTCTGATTTTGAGCTCTTGTCCAGCTTCTCACCTGCCGTTCAGAGTAAGTTATGAGTGTGCAAAAGGTCTGAGCAAGGCCTCACTTTTAAAAACTCTGGGGAGGGGTTTTATCAAATGGTACCCACACCTGTCTCTGTCTCATTTTTACCTGGGTGTGAAGTTTGATTTCACATCACCCATCTGCTTCGTTCCTTTTTTCCCTATGTAGCCTGCCCTTCGCTCATAGATGTTGTGGTGGTGTGTGATGAATCAAATAGTATTTATCCCTGGGATGCAGTAAAGAACTTTCTGGAAAAATTTGTTCAAGGCCTGGATATAGGCCCTACGAAAACACAGGTATGGATGTCACTGGCTAACTACTTGCTTTCTGAGAAAATATTGTTAAATACGATGTCTTAGATTTGCATTTGTCAAATCTCCATCTGCAATGCATTTATTGGTAACATTGAAAGTTAATAGAAACTTGTACTACATTGGGTTATTCTACCCCTAACTTTGCCTGATGTTGGTCCATGAGTTTATATGCAGGCATCAAGCATAAAAGATTTAACATTTTCATCCTCTTTCAGCTGCCTATTTCCTGCTCTTCTAGCCCAGGAGTCTATAGGTACATTTTAAAAGTCAATATGATGCTTTTTTCTCATGCCTATTTGGGCTAATAATTGATTTCATCTATTTATGCCTTGCTGGTAAAGCAATCGTCTTTGAATTCTGGAATTATTTTATAATAATTATCATGTGTTATTTTATAGTCTTTTATCATATTCTAGTCTAACCTCCCTTTTTAACATGGAAGAAATCTTTTCAATAATTTGTTGTGTTATGTTACAAAAATAATTTGTGTTTGTGTTTCCTTGAGGCAGACAACCAAAACTCAGGAGCAGAGACTCCATGCTTCTGTAAGAACACTCAATAGCATTTACTAGGAGTTCAGTTCCTGGTTTTTGTTTTGTGTGTTTTTTTTTTTTAATTAATTAATTTATTTATTTTTGGGCCTTAAATTGGATCTGCCATTCCATGGGTCATTTTAGTTACAGCAGGACAGTGAACCAATATCAACAGGGACCAATTCAGTTACCACTGCATGTTCTTGGGTTACAACAGATCCTCCAGTGTCCCACAAATAGCAACAACTGCTAGCGTATTTTCTTCTGAATGCTTTTGTTGTGATTTGGTTTTCTGCTTTCCTATATAGTATTATAAAAGACTGTTAGACATTTTTCCCACTGAGATTCACTCCAAGGCTAAGAATACATTACTGCCTGCTGAAACCTTGGGATTTTTCCTGTAGGCTGTTACTAGAAAGTTCTGTTACGTGAAAGTAGGTATAGCACTGGTGTCTGAGGAGGACCATGTGTAGGCCTTTATACGAGATGTTTTCATATGCATCTTCTTATTTTGTATCGCTACATGAATCACCCTCCCCCCAGCATGACTTTTTAGTTAAGGGGCTCACACACAATTCACTGCTCTTTTGCCTCTTCCTGCATGCGTCTTATTCCTTTATAGAAGTGGTTAAACTCATTCTCTATTATCTAAATTTGACCCTTCTGTAAGTCCTGATGATGCACCCTATCTTTAAATCTTCCTTCACTTTTCTCACACAGGTGTTTGGGGGCTGTGTCACGGGGATTACTCTGTTACTTTCCTTTCCTATTAGACTTAAAGTCTCCAGAGCTATCTTTGATCCTTCCCTCCCTCTTCAGTCTTCCATGCTAACGCAAAGGATCCAGGAAGACCAGTGTTCGGGGCATCTTCCCAGTGCCTTGCTCACTGCCTTCCTAACAAAAAGAAAAACGAAAACAAAACCAGCAGATTGAGCTCCTTCCTCCTGCCTCGCACACTGACCTCTGGGGGCCTCCCACGGGTCCCTTCCTGCCACTTCCTGTTCTGGGACCCCATCTCTGAACCTCAGAGGATGATCTCTGTCTGAGAACAGACATTGATAGGAGCATATGATTTTCTTGATCTCAACCATTGGAAAATGTCCGGGAACACCTTGTTCAGAAGTTAGATACTCCTGGTCCCCCATGCACAGACATCCACTTGCCTCCAGAGCTGCTGAAGCCCCTAAAGTCTAGCTCAATACATAGACCCAAACTGACTACATTCAGTAGGAGCCTATGGATGTTTCTTTCATTCAACTCTAATTCTTTATTGCACAATTATTGTTCACTGCTGAGATGGTGCCCTCCTTCTGTGAATTCTCATCATTGTCTGCAAGCCTATATCTGTTGATAACTAGAACATTTACTTACATCTATTTTAATCTTCCTGTTATAAACTGTTTTATGATATTCATCAATATTAAGTATTAAAATAAAACATCTAAAATTACTCTTTCAAAGCAGTTCACAGGCTGCAGCCCATCATCTTGCTTGGTGATAGTAGTGTTATTGTACACAGATGGCGTCTCACATCAAAAAAGCCATTTCACTGAAAGAAACATAGCTGTCAAGAACAGAGTTGGTTGGTGCCGCGGCTCAGTAGGCTAATCCTCTGCCTGCGGCGCCAGCACCCCGGGTTATAGTCCCCGTTGGGGTGCCAGATTCTGTCCCAGTTGCGCCTCTTCCAGTCCATCTCTCTGCTGTAGCCCGGGAGGGCAGTGGAGGATGGCCCAAGTCCTTGGGCCCTGCACCCGCATGGGAGACCAGGAGGAAGCACCTGGCTGCTTGCTTCAGATTGGCACAGCACACCGGCCGTGGTGGCCATCTGTGGGGTGAACCAACAGAAGGAACACTTTTCTCTCTGTCTGTCTCTCTCTCTCTCTCTAACTCTGTCAAAAAAAAAAAAAAAAAAACACAAAACAAACAAAAAAAAGACAAACCAGAGTTGAGAATGATTCCCTTAAGCTATCACATATCTAAATGTGCTTTTGAGGTTTATTTTCTTGGCTAAAGAAAAATTACTATAACTTAATGACAGTCCGTTTATAAACTTTTACTCTTTTGAAGGTGGGATTAATTCAGTATGCCAATAATCCAAGAGTTGTGTTTAACCTGAACACATTTAAGACCAAAGATGGCATGATTACAGCAACATCCCAGACATACCAATATGGTGGGGACCTCACAAACACATTCAAAGCAATTCAGTTTGCAAGGTAAGTTTTGCTGCTAGTAGACCAATATTTTGATAACATAAAAAGTGCTAATAACTGTGAAAGAAAAAATAATATACCTGCTAACCACCACTAAAATCAGAATTGGTACACAAGAAAAATTTGAGTATTTTGTGACTTGCATACTTTGAGAGGGTAGCTTGCAAGTGAAGTGAAAATATTTGATTCTAGGATTTTAATAAGATATGACATGATTTTTATGTGATTTACATGAAATAAATGAGAAGATTTTAGTTTAAAACTGTAGGAAATGGAACAATTGTCATTATTTATATTTTCATTAATTGAGTTAGTAAAATACTTCTTGCAAATTAACAAGAGCCATCCGATCTTCATGAGTCCAATTTGAACTATAAGTCTAGTAAATTTCCCATCTGTGGGAGGTATGAATTTTTAGAGCTGTGTAGCACTCTCCTCATTCCGGTCTCAGTTTCTCTATTGTTTCAGCTCCACTGAGCTTCGCTTTTGCTCTGTTTCTTTTTAGTCATTTATTTTTATTTAAAAAGGCAAGGCAACAGAGAGGGGAGAAATATATAAAGATCTACCATTGCCGATTCACTCCCCAAATACCCACAGCCAGGAGCCAGGGACCCTGTGTGGGTCTCCCACATGGGTGGCAGGAACCCGAGTACTGGAGCTATCACCTGCTAGCTTCTGGGTGTGCGTTCTTAAGAAGCTGGCACCAGGAGCAGAACCAGGACGCGCATCCAGGCACCGTGATATGAGATGCAGGACTCAGATCCAGGCACGGTGATTTGACCTGCAGGACTCAGATCCAGGCACTGCGATATGAGATGCAGGCATCAAAAGCCGTGGCTTAACTCACAGTACCACAAATACCCTCCCCCTTCACTCTGTGTTAACCAGATACCTCACAGAGATGCTACACACTGGCTTCTTATTACAAAATAAATGAGAGTGATAAGCTTGGCTTCCCTTTTAGTTACTTCCTGCTTTTTTTTTTTTATCTTGTGTATTTCTTCTACCATAATTCCTTGAAAAAAGCATCTTCCCCTCCTCCACTTCCTTGAAGCTTCTATCTGTGCCACCAGGCAAACAGGTTCCTCTGTTTACCCAACCGCATGGTCCTGCCTCAAGCCCTGCCTCTTCCCTCCTCTGAACAGTTAGTAATGATACACATGCACTACTATTCAGAACCCAGTTGCCATGGCAACTACAAACTTCTGGGACCCCTGCCAACTTTTTCTCAATGATTTTGGCCTCTCCGCTGGCTCTTTTTCCTATTTTTTTTTTCCTTCATCCAACAGCTTTTCTTTACAGTTCTTCCCTCTCAGAAACTGCATGCACCATCACAGCATTGGCATCTGCTCTGTCACTCCATTGCTGTGTTGTCTGTCCTGCACACTTTCCCGAGGTTCGCACAGCCAGGGTGTGGGCCCATTCATCCCACTCAACACATCCTAACCTGGCCTTGTTATTTTCCCTACCACTCTGCCTGACTTTTGTCATTTTGATTCAGGCCACTGCCTGCTTCATTCCAATTGAAAAACCTCATGGTTTTCTTTATTCTTCTCACAGTTCTTTAGGTCACCTGTCTGGTTGGTCACCACATCCTGTCATTTCTGTTTCTGCATTTCCCATTATATCTGTCCCTTCTTTTATCTGTATATTTAAGTTGCTGCTCCCATCAACTGGGATTCTCCTTGTGTGCCTCAAAAGCAGATTTTGCACAAGAGAAGATCGTTTGGTTTGGTTCATCTTTATTTCACCTATTAAGATGTCCCTTTGGGCGTAGGTGGATATTTGGCACAGTAGATGCTGCTTGGGACTCCTGCATCGCATGTCAGAGAGCCTGGGTTAAAGTCCCAGCTCTGATTCCAGCTTCCTGCTCATGCACACACACATGGTTGGTTCCATGCCATTTATATTTTCCCAGCCCCAGGCTTTGCTTTGACCCAGCCCCAGCTGTTCCTGGAATTCGGGGAATGAACCAATGGACTGGAGATCTGTGTGTATATATCTCTCTCTATGTCTTTCTACTCTTCAAATGAATACGTTTTTTAAAGATTTCCCTTTGGGCCTGAACATCTCACAAGCCACTGCCCAGTCAGTAGGTTGGGTGCCAACAGCTGAAGTGCCCTTCCTGGTCTGGTGAACTGGACTAAGGGGAAGAAATTTTTTTCCTGGAGTTAAAATGTGCTGAGGGACAGTGTTTCCAGCAGGAAATATGGGTGTGGAATTTTTCCCTGGAAGGAACCTGGGAGTCTGGCAAGCTTCTTTCTCCAGGATAGCCGTGGCCACTGCCTGAGGTGGGACTTGTCTGGCTTTCAACATCTTTGCAAAATTTTGGTTTTCTCTACTGTGCCAACATCTGTTTCCTTCTTACCACAATTTCCCAAACTAGTAGGTTTTAATCCTCTCATTGCTAGAATTGTTCAACTTACTCACCTCCCTGCTGCAATACTGAGTAGAATCCCGTCACTCCTGTAGTAAATACTGCCATGTTTTTATTCACCTATTTAATTGAATGCCTATGGTTGCAACTTACTGTTCCAAGTGCTGCAGGCCATTACAGCTAAATGATTTATAGTTTCTGTCCTCAAAAGCTTTATAATCATATGGAAGATCTACAGTATGCCATACAGAGTATGTCACAGGGTGGGCATCTAACATGACACTTCAGTCACTGTCTTCATCCTGTATCAGAGTGCCTGGCTTCAGGTCCCCACTCTGTTTCCAGTCCAGCTTCCTGATAACATGCACCTTGGGGGACATCAGGTGAAAGCTCAAATAATTATGTTCCTGCCACCTTTGTAGGAGACTCAGATGGAGTTTCAGCCTCCTGGTTTCAGTGTAGCCCAACCCTGGTATTGCATGTGTCTGAGGAGTGAAATAGTGTATAAAAGACGTCTCTCTGTCTCTCTGTCTCTCTCTTTTTTTTTTTTTTTTTTTTTTTGACAGGCAGAGTTAGTGTGAGAGAGAGACAGAGAAAGGTCTTCCTTTTTCCATTGGTTCACCCCCCAAATGGCTGCTACAGCCAGCCAATCTAAAGCCAGGAGCCAGGTGCTTCCTCCCGGTTTCCCATGCAGGTGCAGGGCCCAAGCACTTGGGCCATCCTCCACTGCTCTCCCGGGCCATAGCAGAGAGCTGGACTGGAAGAGGAGCAACCAGGACAGAATCCGGCGCCCCGACTGGGACTAGAACCCAGGGTGCCGGTGCCGCAGGTGGAGGATTAGCCTAGTGAGCCGTGGCACCGGCCAGGCTTTCAAATAAATAAATTAAAAAGAGTATATGTCACTAAAGAGGATTTTTATGTGAGTACTGTAATTCAAACTATTTCTTGCTGAAACATGGAATATTTTATATTTTGATATTATATAGAATGTAGAAAGATTTTTAGAAAATAATATTGTATGCTCAGTTTTAAATGCGTTGAATTTGAAATACTCCTTACACATTCAGGTAAGAATATTCAGCAAGCCTTGAAAACATATATTAAAAAAAAGAATGGACAATAGATGCAGACATTAAATGTCATCACTTGGTAGCAGTTATTCCAAGGAGTGGGTGACATTACTCAGGAAGAATGTGAACCAGGGCCATCCAATAGATAGAAGGAAAATCAGCTGTTTGACAAGTGTCTCATCATCCAGAAACAAAAAAAGCTGAATCTCTGCGTCACTCTTGCATCAAAGTAGATTTCAGCTGAACCAAGAATTTAAATTTAAATTTAAAGGGGAAGCAAAGGACTATGAGAAAACTTGGATGATTTTTTTTTTTAAAAAAAGCCCTTAGAAGTAACACTCTTATAATATGCCATGTCCAAGATAAATTACACAAAAATTTAATGGAACTGATTATTTCTTTGCAGAATTTTAATTTTTATATAATCTCTGAAGTATGTAAGTAATACCACTACGAATCAAAAGCTATCAATAAGCTGGAGGCATTTTTATAGCATGTGACAAAGGAAAATTTTCTTAGAAAACTTACTAATCATTAAGAGAATGAGGAACAACACAAAGTAAAACAGGAAAAGGTACAGAGAAATCGAGTTCACTGAGAAAGATAAATGCCTACTAAGCATACAGAATTCTCATTCCTTCATATTGAAAAATAACTGCATGTTAAGGCAATGATATGTTATTTCTCACTAATCAAAATTCCAAAAATGAATGATTTTAATAATCCTCGGTGTCAAGCAAAGGAGCTCGAGAAATATGCAGCCTTGTATATTGATGATATAAATTGGTGGAAATTTTTGCAGGGCAATTTGATGTTACTAAAGTTGGAGATGTGAATATTCTTTGTTTCAGTAGTTTCACTGATCTCAATAACATTTGAAAAGATATACCAAAACATAGCAGAGGGACATTCCTTACAGCATTACTTGTAAAACTAAAATTGGTTGAAATGCCTGATAATGGGGAACTAGTTAAATAAACCATGGTGTCTCCACATAATGAAATATTAGAACAAGGGCTTTGTATGTGCTGATATGGAAAGATCTCCACCCAAATGAGCAACAATGGAATAGAATATGCCCTCCTTTGTGTAAAAGTTTAAAGAGTAGAGTATGCATGTACTAACTGTAGATCTAGATAAATGCTTTATAGAAAGAAATACAGAAACTGTGATAGTGGTTATCTTTGGAGCAGGGCTTGGTGTCACATTTTTGTTTTATACTTTCCCAATGCTCTGAGTTTATTTTATTTTTTTAAGATTTGTCTATTTGAAATCCAGTATGACAGAAGAGAGAGAAGTGTGAGAGATTTCCATCCACTGATTCCCTCACCAAATGTTTGCAACTATCAGGGCTGAGCTAGGCTCAAGCCAATAGCCAGTAACTCCATCCTGGTCTCCCATGTGGATAGCAGGGAATCAGTACTTGAGCCATGATCGGCTGCCTCCGAGGGGCATTAGCAGGAAGCTGGATCAGAAACGGAGTTGCCAGGACAGCAGCACCCTGACAGGGGAAGCAAGCATCCTAAGCAGCATCCTAACCCGCTGCACCACAACACCTGCCCCTGCTTTGAAGTGTTTAAGCATATGTGTCAATTACTTTTAAAGACATTAAATACTGAAAAGGTCCAATTGATAAAGTTTATGACAGCAATATCTATCTGCAGCTTAATAAGAATTCAGTTAATTTTTTATGAGAATTAAAAAAATTCCTGGTGTGAATACACAATCATGTATGCCATGGAACTCATGGAGTTTTTTTTGATTATCAAGCAAAATTTATATTACTGTATGTTTCTTAGCAACCTACAAATAGAATGTACTTAAGTAGTCACCAGCCTTGACATGAAGGGAAGTTCTATATCACAACAATTTGTGCTCAAGAAGCTAACTTCCTATTTCTATTTCAAACCAGAGGTCTCATATTAAAATTCATCTTTTGATCATGAGTCTTTATCTGCCACAGAGATTTCGCTTATTCAGCAGCTTCTGGTGGACGTCCAGGTGCTACCAAAGTAATGGTCGTTGTAACTGATGGTGAATCCCATGACGGGTCGATGTTGAGAGCTGTGATTGATCAGTGTAACAATGATAACATACTGAGGTTTGGCATAGCAGTAAGTGTCTTTTGACTTGTCCTTCAGTGGGTCAGTAAACTTTCCATTATAGTGTTACTTCTCAAGGCTGCAGTTTCTTGTTGGCTGTTCTTAGTTTCATATAAAAGGAAGTTTTTGCTCTCTCTCTGCTTCTTGCCGATTATTTTGGTCCTGTCAGCTAAGGGAATGTGGAAATCCTGCTTGATTGACTTCTGCCGAGGGCCCATTGTGTTCAGAAATAGACTAGAAAGTGCTCGTGGGGGAACAGGAGTACAACAGTAACGACCTTGTTTTCTTCTTTCTGCATTTCCAAGGTTCTCGGGTACTTAAACAGAAATGCCCTTGATACTAAAAATTTAATAAAAGAAATCAAAGCAATTGCCAGTATTCCAACAGAAAGATACTTTTTCAACGTGTCTGATGAGGCAGCTCTACTAGAAAAGGCTGGGACGTTAGGAGAACAAATTTTCAGCATTGAAGGTAAAAGAATGTCCAAGGATTTTCTTTCAACACCTCTGTTTTCAATAATATTTTATTATCATAAACTTGCCCTATTAATGTTAGCTTGTCAGTCTTGTTTAAAATTTCCTATAAAGCAGTAGGAAATGGACAAACAACATGAGTAAGTAGTTTGAAAGATTCAAAACACAAATAAGCAAAAAACGTGAGAAAATATTGCCAATTACAGTAATTCTTTGAAAATATGAATTAAAACAATGTTTCACCTGAAAGATATCACAGATTAATAATATTTAATCTTTGAGATATGATGGATAAGCAAAGAAGCTCCTATGCTCTTGATTAGGTCATAATTGTTATAACTTTGGAGGGACAATTTAATTGTATCACGATCATAAATAGTTTCACCTTTTTAGACTGTTAAATATAATTGCTGAAAATGTTTATAAGTATATAGACTTCTCAATTAGAAAAATACAGTGAAGATACTTAATAGGTCAGTGTTTAAGGGAACATCTTATTTATCAGGCCTGAAATAATTTACTTATTTGATTCTGGAGGACAAGTCATATGGAAATATCCCATGCTCAGAAGCCCACTGTATGGGGTTCTGGAACACATTTCACAGTGAACAAAAAGTCCCACGTGATCCAAATCCCGGTTCCCCCAAAATTCTCTACAATGAAGAGCACTTTCATGGACCCTCTGTGTTGGAGATAAGAGGTTGCATAGATCAAGAATTCATTCCTTTAGACAAATTTTGATATCCTGATAATCCACTGGAAAGCTCTAGCTAAAAAAAAAAAAAAAAAAAGTATCGCTTCTTAAATAGCTCATGTTCTAAGTTCTTTATCATCATCAAAATCTAATATGCCCTGAGAATGTCCAAAATTACTGAGCTATCTACGCTAATAAATTTGTTTGCTGGTCATACATGAATAAGAACGAACACAGTGCAATTTATAAGTTCATCTGAAATTATTTTGTGCATTACCTGCTATTATAGACTTTTAGAGAGCAATTCTCTATTTTATTAAAAATTATCTCCACTCATCCTGCATGAATTGTTAAACCTTTTTTTTAAAAAAGATTTATTTATTTGAAAGGCAGCATTACAGTGAGGCAGAGGCGGAGAGAGAGGGAGAGGTCTTCCATCTGCTGGTTCACTCCCAAGATGGCCACAACAGCCGGAGCTGTGCTGAACCCAGGAGCTTATTCTGGATCTCCCATGTGGGTGCAGGGGCCTAAGGACTTGAGCCATCTTCTGCTTTCCCAGGCCATAGCAGAGAGCTGGATTGGAAGTGGAGCAGCCAGGACTGGAACCAGCTCCCACATGGGACACCGGCACTACAGGCTTTACCTGCTACGCCACAACGCCGGCCCTTTAAATCTTCTAAACAAGACTTGAGTGGTGCAATTTGTCTTCTCCTGAGTAAAGCATCAGTCCAGGAATTTAGCTTCGCTTTTGTGAATACTGGGGAAGCTTAACCAGTCTGACCACACTATATGGAAAATGAGTACTAGTTGAGTCTTAGGATATCAGTGACAAAACAAGCATTTATATACAAGTCGGAAAAATGTCTCGATTGATAAAATTCCTTTGGTTTTTGAATCCTGATTCCTAGTGGCTAACCTGGATATCTCTGGGCAGTCAATCACTAGGCTCCTCCACTGCATTTGAGATACTTGTGCATGCAGTGGCACCAATATTTAAAAACTAAAAACTCAAGTTAATTTCATAGCTAGCAATGATCAAAAATTTTTTAAAGATATCACCTCAGTTTTTATCGTCCCTCATTCCCTTTGTTGAGGGTTCTTTGATATTAGGAACTATATTAAGAATTATGACAAATACATTAATGCTTGATTAAGCTTAATGCTGACTTTGAACACTGCTGTACAAGTGTGTGGATCTCTGTAGTCTGGTGGAATACTTCCTAGTGATCACTTCTCTTCAGATTCTGACTGCTCTGTATTTTGGGGTGACTATTACAACGTGTGTGTGTGTGCGCGCATGTGCTGTGCATGCTTATGTTTGCAGATGCAATTTAAGACTGCTGATAATAATCTAATTTTTAAAATGATATTTCCCAGGTACTGTTCAAGGAGGAGACAACTTCCAAATGGAAATGTCGCAAGTGGGATTCAGTGCAGATTACTCTCCTCAAAACGTGTGTATATCATAACTTCAAGCCATGCTGTCAGTTGGGATACTGCAGCCTTATACACAAAGTAGAACACACATCTAGTGACCAACAAACAGTTCTGATTCCTAGTCACAGTCATTTGTGTTCTTTATGCTAACACTTCTTAGCCATAAAAATGAAGGTGAATAATGCCTTCCCTTCCCTATTTCACAGGGATTTTTTTAATGGAGAAACAAAAAGATACCATACAGGAGAGCCTTTGAGTGTTCCAGGTACAGGCAATGTTTAAACTCAAATTATCCATTCAGGAATTTCCTTTGACTCAATTCACCACTGAAAATGTTTCTTAAAAACACAAATTCTTGTCAATACTGTCTGCTGAATTCCAACTTGCTGCAATATCTTTTTTTATGAATAGAAACAGATAAATTTAGAAAAATGCAAGTCCTGGGGAGATATTTTGGGAGCCCCAGTGCTCAGAGAATTTGTAGATCAAAGGACCAGGAAAACCTTGTTTTCTGACTTAGATAAAAGGAGTGAACTTTTTCTGAATCAACAGTCCTTAGAGATACTCAAGAAAAAATTAGGTATAGTTCCTTCAGTTAAAAAAAAAAAAAAAGGCAAACCTTTGCATAGAATATTTTGTACACAATTCCATGAAATTCTTTGTGTTCTTAAGTCTATTCACACACCTCTGATTTAGAGTTCCTATTTTCATTATAATCCTTCAGATAATTTCATGGTCTCATCCTCAAACTGGTAAACATCATCTCTTTATATGCCATTCTTTAATCTCAAATCATCATATCTTGGATGGTTTCTAAAGCCTAAGATCAAAAATGTAAAAGTAATAATTCCATGCTAACTGAACCTGCCTTTTTTTTTTTTTTTTATTTGACAGGTAGAGTTATAGACACTGAGAGAGAGAGAGAGAGAGAAAGGTCTTCCTTCCATTGGTTCACTCCCCAAATGGCCGCTATGGCTGGCGCACTGTGCTGATCCGAAGCCAGGAGCCAGGTGCTTCCTCCTGGTCTCCCATGTGGGTGCAGGGCCCAAGCACTTGGGCCATCCTCCACTGCCCTCCCGGGCCACAGCAGGGAGCTGGACCGGAAGAGGACTAGAACCTGGTACCCATATGGGATGCCGGTGCCGTGGGCAGAGGATTAACCAAGTGAGTCATAGCGCCGGCCCCAAACTGAACCTGCCTTCTGCAATGGCTTATGGCTTTGAATATTCAGCTTAGAAAACCTTGAGCCAATCCAGAATGGCCTGTCCCTTTCCCTACTGCTGACCGATGGTTCTTTTCTTCCCAATAGATGAAATGTCACAACTACAAGTGCCTTTTGAGGTTGTGCTCCTATCAGTTGGATGAATATTGGTCCTAGAGGAATATTTGAGAAAGAGTCGAGAGAAAAGAAGGTTGAAAATGGGTTAGATCAGAAGGGACCTCCCCGACAGGCCTGGGCTAGCAATAGCATTCCCATTTCTCTTCTGTGGTCAGCACTTCCTGTTTTCAAGCAGGTCTCATGTCTGGCTGTGAGCCTTCCTGGGAATATGGAAGCCCACTTCTGACTCCTCTCTAAAGGCTCACAAGGGTTCACATTTGGAATTGTAGGCCTTTTAATGGATATATCAATATGGCTGTGTACCTGCCCTGTCCCGCAGCTGATTTACAAGACTTAGCTATTCAATGTCTCACCCTAAATAAAATCTGAGACAACACAGGCAATGGGAAGCCTTGTTTTCTAGCACACATCATAAAACAAATATAGTGGGGCTGGCACCGTGGCTCACTTGGCTAATCTTCCGCCTGCAGTGCCGGCATCCCATATGGGCGCTGGGTTCTAGTCCTGGTTGCTCCTCTTCCAGTCCAGCTCTCTGCTGTGGCCTGTGAAGGCAGGGGAGGATGGTCCAAGTGCTTGGGCTCCTGCACCTGCACGTGAGATCAGGAAGAAGCACCTGGCTCCTGGCTTAGGATCAGTGCAGCACTGGCCGAGGCAGCCATTTGGGGAGTGAACCAATGGAAGGAAGACCTTTCTCTCTGTCTCTCTCTCACTGTCTATAACTCTACCTGTCAATAAACTTAAAAAAAATAGTAAAACAATTCTGTGAAATACCGATATACATTTGTATATTTCCCTTCATCATGTTTAGTATTTTCCCTAAATCTAGATAAATTATTCCAATGTTTTGCTTACCTAACAACCTTATGCTTTAAATGTTATTTGTCTTAATTATCTTTATTTTCAACTATTTCAGGATACTCTGATGCTAGGTGCAGTAGGAGCTTTTGGCTGGAGCGGGACTGTTGTCCAGGAAACATCTCGTGGACATTTGATCTTTCCTAAGCAAGCCTTTGACCAAATTCTGCAAGACAGAAATCACAGTTCATATTTAGGTAAGGCACAGCAACATTTGGCTTCCTTTAGACCAGCTCCTAGTTGAAGCTCAGAGTCAGTTCAGCAAAACTTCTGAGCTATCATCATCCTACAAATGCATGCCCTGGGAGGCAGCAGCTGATGGCTAAGTACCTGAGTGCCTGCCATGCATATGGGAAAGGCAGAATGGAATTCTTGACTCCTGCCTGATCCATCCTTGGCTGTTGAGAGCATCTTTTGGGGGGGGGGGGTGAACCAGTGGATGGGAAGCGCATATGCTCTCTCTTTCTCACTCTATTTCAAATAAACATTTATTTATAAATAAATACGTATTAATTTGAAAGGCAGTTACAGAGAGGGGTTCACTCCCCAATTGGCTGCAATGACCAGGGCTGGGCCAGGCCAAGGCCAGGAGCCTGGAACTCCTTCCAGGTCTCCTACATGGGTGCAGTGACCCAAGCATCAGGGCCATCTGCTAGTGCATTAGCAGAGAGCTGGATCAAAAGTGAAGCAGCTGGGACCTGAATCAGTACCCAAATGGGATACTAGCATTGCAAGTGGTGGCTTAACCCTCTATGATGCAAGCCCCTGTGGAACATATTTATTAATCATATATATTTTTTACCTTCTGCTAATGAGGCCTAAATCCATATTACTTACTGAAACATCATGTTAGAATCACTGATCTCTTCTGGCTTTTCCATCAGTTAAATAATTCCTAGAGCATGATTGTGTTTCTCCAAAATGGAAATCATCCCTAGAAGTCATTACTACTTATAAAAGTGGCAATATTATATTATTTTAGAATTCTTAGTGGTTTTTTTTCCACATAATAAGCAGTCACTGATTTTTTTTTTTTAGCACCTTTCATGGGACAGTGCCTAAGCTAGCTATTCTGTCTACACAAACATTGAAATCCTTCCAACAACCCACTGAGGGCCATTATACTTTTGAGAGACAGTGAAGTTAATAACTTGTCTACTGTTAATCTAGTAAGTAGTGAATCCCAAACTTGAACTTGGGACTGTCTAATTCCAAGCACTGTATTTTTTCCATTGTACAGCATTACCTTTTAAATTAATGTATTCATTCTAGAAATATATATTGGATTCCAAGTTCACAGGCAGCTAATAAGGACAACCCAGAACCTAGAGATAGCTTTGTTGGTAGAGGCTTCACCCACACAGGGCAATGGTAAAGGACAAGGGTACAGTTCATTTTAGAAAAGATGTATCCTCGGTGATACATTCATGGGCACTAGCATCATACCTAACACAAAGGAACCTCTGATCGTGTCTACTAGCTGCGCAGGCCTCATCTGGCTGAGATGATCCTTGGTCCTCTCTCTCTCTCCTAGGTTACTCTGTGGCTGCAATTTCTACTGAACAAAGTATCCATTTTGTTGCTGGTGCTCCTCGGGCAAATTACACTGGCCAGATAGTGCTCTACAGCGTGAATGAGAACGGCAATGTCACGGTTATTCAGACTCACAGAGGTGACCAGGTAAATGCCACTACACGGTTGGTGAAATTAGTTTTATGGACAACTGAGGCAGGTGGGGAGTTGAGTGGGTAGAAATGGGAACATTTATTATGTGCCTACTCTGGGACTGGCTCTGTGAGATCCCATAAATCTTCACAATACTAAGAAGAGCCACCATTCTCTTCAGACAGGTAACTAAGAGTTTAGGTCTCTTACGAGGTCACACAGCATGGCTTTAATGGGACTGAGTTGTCAGTAAAACCCATCCTATTTGGCCTCAGAGCCTCCTTGTGGATTACATCTGCCCATACTTTTGACTGCCCAGGTTAATAATGCATGGGCATTTAGTCATGATGGCAGGCACTGCTTCGTAGGCAAGTCCTCCCAGGGAGCCAAGTGCTGGAGGAGGGATGAGAAGGGAGCAGTATAGCAATGTAAGGACTGAGCGTTTCCACACAGGAGCCTGTCCAGGCGTCCTGTTGGTTCTGATGTTTCTGCAAGTTAAAGAACTCTCTTCTCTGCTGCTTTCTACTGATGAGTGGTGGCTTGGTAGTCAGACCCTGTGATGAATTCCAGCTGTGGACCCCCACACCAGAGGTCTGTTGCTACTGTCAAGAGCCGCCAATTGCTTGCTCATTCCTTATAGAGCAGTTTTTTCTCCTGGGCTTGGCACATAGTGGAAATGGGCATCCCTGATCCCTGACAACATACAGAAAGTGTTACCCTTCCTTCAGTCAGAGAAACTGACCACAGATTTCTCTGTGACTGATCTCACTGTTGCTACTGGATTTTCTGAGCTCTTTGACCTCAAAAATAATCCCATACCTTTTCCGTCCCATTTAATGTTTTAAAGAAGGGTGTTTTTGTCTTGAGAAAAATGAAAGTTATGGAAAAAGCAATTTCTTTATTCTTTTCTAAATCCTTTAGAGGTGTTCTCTTAGGCATTCACGTTGTTGAATGGGATGAACATTCAAATTTTCAACTTCATTTTATTTTATTCCCATTTTGTCTTCCATCCAGTTTGTCCATCAACTACTTATCTGTCCCAGACCATGCCATGGATGCTTATGTCATTCATGCTTTCCCTTCCCTCTCTACCTGCAAAACCCCTGGTCCTGTTTAAGATGTGATTCTGATAATACTTTAGCTTTTTAAGTCTCCTACCTCCACTGCACTCGGATTACTCAGATCTGGGACTTGTCTCTATCACAGTACATTTTGCCATGGAGACACAATTGTTTGTCTCACACAGACACTGCCTCTGTCTCTACCTCTCCTGCTCTGCCCTACAACACACCTTGCATAGCTACTAAGGGTTTCTCTCCTAAATGTGTCTTTGGCCCACTGGCATCAAGAACATCTGGAGTGCTTGTTTAAACTGCTGCTTCCTGGATCACACCCTAGCCATCGCACTAGACTCTTTGGAACCAGAAATCGGGGATCTTCATTTTAAAGACACTTTCTTGGTGACTCTTGTGCACACAGAAGTCTAAGAACCAAGGGTTAGGCAGTGATATATCCTGAGCTAACAGACTATGCTGACCATCCTTGTGTTCCTAGCCCCTTGCAGGTAGTAAACATTCAATTTTTGCGTGTTGAATAAGCAAATAAAAGTTCAGCATGTTAGTAGGAGTCTGAGTCCCAGGAATCCTGAGGCTGCTGTTGTTTATATTGCTCCAGATTGGTTCCTACTTTGGGAGTGTGCTGTGTTCGGTTGATGTGGATAAAGACACCACCACAGATGTGCTCTTGGTAGGTGCACCAACGTACATGAATGATCTAAAGAAAGAGGAAGGAAGAGTCTACCTGTTTACTATCAAAAAGGTAAAAAGTTCTTAATATGCTTTAATACTGATAAATAAAGTTAATATGCATTTTCAAAGAAAAGTTATTATTCAGTGACCATTCATTTGCATATATGTGCTTTACTGTTTTTGAGGATGTCACATTAAGTTGTAATTTTTAAAATCACATTAAGTAGCAACTCAAGTGTAATGCATAGCGTACTTTCATTTTCTATGAGAGATCTTTGAATACATGTTCTATTCAAATGGTCATTATAAATTCACATGATTTTCTTTAAAGATTTTATTTGAAAGAGTTAGAGAGACAGAAGGGTTCTCTTCCTCCATTCACTGGTTCACTCCCCAGATGATTGGAAAAGTCGGGAGCCTCTTCCAGCTCTCCCACATGGGTGCAGAGGCCCAAGCACTTGGGCTGTCTTCTGCCGCTTTCCCAGGAACATTAGCAGGGAGCTGGATGGGAAGTGGAGCAGCTGGAATTCGAACTGGTTTCGATATGAGATGCCAGTTTCACAGGTGGCTGCTTTATCCACTATGCCACAATGATTTTAAAAAGTGTATTCAGACACACACAAACATTTGTGTATTTCCCAAGTATCACATGCAGGTTGTTTGTTTATTTTATTTTATTTTTTTTGCTGTGAAGACATGACAATACCAGGACAATGCAGTCTTATTACCATTTTACAGTGAAAAAGACAAATTGTACCAGGCACTTTGCCAACTTTAAAATGATCGCAGATTCTTTACATTAGTTTGTCATGAAATCCCATTGTTTAGTGGAAGATTTAAGTATATGTCCAACTCATGGGATTTCCAATCCTTACGCTTAAAGCAGCATATTCTAACATTGGGAAGCACAGTTTTTCCAGTTTGTAGATTGAACTCTACATCCCTGCATATAAGTACAGTAAACTCAGTGAAAGCAGAAAAGAAAATCAAGCTGAAGGCATAGGTTGACATAGAAAATTAGATGACCATAAAGCAGAAAAGTTGGAAAAAAGTTTCACTTAATATAGTAAATATTATCTTTAGCTGTGATATTTTGTCCTGCCTTATTCATTTAAATTCATGTTCAAGTTCGCCCCTTAACACAAACAATACTATTCTAAAACAATTATGTCTATAAATTATGACTACAAATATACAGTTGTGTATATATATAGTAAATCTCTCTATATAGAATTTGTAATTGAGTAAACAATAAGGGAAATGCATGTTTACTGATTTGAAAATTAAATAAATTGGGCTGGCATTGTGGTATAGTGATTAAAGCTGCTGTCGGTAATGCCGGCATCACGTATGGGCACCAGTTTGAGTCCCATCTGCTCCCCTTCCGCTCCATGCTGATGGTTTGGGAAAAGCAGTAGAAGGTGACCCAAGTACTTGGGGCCCTGCCACCCAGGTGGGAGACCCAGAAGAAGCATGTGGCTTCAGCCTGGCCCAGCCCCAGCCATTGGGGCTATGTGGGAAGTGAGCCAGCAGATGGAAGTCAGTCTCTCTGTCTCTGTCTCTGTCTCTCTCTCTGTCTCTCTCTCTCTGTCTCTCTCTCTCTGTCTCTCTCTGTCTCTGTCTCTCTTCCTGTATCTGCTTCTCTGTAATGTCTTTTCCTTTGGGTAGAATTTGTGTCTACCTCAACTTCACTCAATATATTAGTAGATCTTTACTGAAAATTTTTACATCTAAAGGTTTGGATACAAGCCAAGATTCTAATACTAAAGAAAAAAGATAAAGGAAAGGCTTTCATTTCGGTTGCTCAGCTCCAGTAAAAAGAATTATATCTCAGGCCGGTGCCGTGGCTCACTTGGTTAATCCTCCACCTGTGGCGCTAGCATTCCATATGGGCGCCGGGTACTGGTCCCGGTTGCTCCTCTTCCAGTCCAGCTCTCTGTTGTGGCCTGGGAAGGCAGTGAAGGATGGCCCAAGTGTTTGGGCTCCTGCACCTGCACGTGAGATCAGGAAGAAGCACCTGGCTCCTGGCTTAGGATCAGTGCAGCACCGGCCGTAGTGGCCATTTGGGAAGTGAACCAATGGAAGGAAGACCTTTCTCTCTGTCTCTCTCTCTCACTGTCTATAACTCTACCTGTCAAATAAATTTAAAAAAAATTATATCTCACCTTGTTTTATGAGCAGATATCCTAGGACCTGTAATTCTGATTTAAAATTCTCTTCATAAGTTGAGTATGTTGAACCCTAAGTTTAAAAACCCTATCCACTTTTATCATTTTGAAATATTGGCTTGGTCATCAGTTGCTGTGAATTTTAATTATGCCAGTCATGCGGTTTGCTTTAATCATCCTCTCACCCTCCCGTCCCTTTTCAAGGGCATTTTGGATCTGCAGCAGCTCCTGGAAGGGCCCGAGGGCACTGAAAATGCACGGTTTGGTTCAGCCATTGCTGCTCTTGCAGACATCAACATGGATGGCTTGAATGATGTGATTGTCGGTTCCCCTTTAGAAAACCAGAACTCTGGAGCTGTGTATATCTACAATGGCCAGCATGGTCATCAGAGCACCATTCACACAAAGTACTCGCAGGTAATCTATGAGCTACACAGTGATGGGTTTGCCTGTGAGTATCATCATGTTAGAGCTAAGGAGTAATGTGTAGGCCACCCCTTTATTTCATAACCTTATTTATTCACTCAACAATATTTCTTGAGCCTGTACTATTTCTCTGTGCCTAGTACTATTCTAGAATCCGAGTATTCTGTAAAGAACAGGACAGAAAAAAAAAATCAGATTTTTGTGGATTTTGTGGACTTCTAATGGCAGAGGTAATTGACAAAAAGATTTATGAGTAAATAACATGAAGTATTCCAGATACTGATAAATGCTCTGGAATGTTTTGAAAGATAGAAAACTAAAATAATAGAGAACAACATTTCAGGAATGAGAGATATCGGATGGTAGAAAATGTGACCAAGGAGGCCTCACTAAGAAGGCAACTTTTGAGTAAGACCTGAAGGAAGACAGCTGAGACAGGGACCAAGGCCTGAACCTGCTTCAGTTCATTTCCAGTTCACTGATTTTTCACTCTTCTGTGCTGTTCTGTAACTTTAAAGATTCATGCTATTTCCTTGATTAAAGTGTGGCTTCAACTGTGATACAGAAATGGGATGTAATTGAAAAACAATGGAATTTTGTGGAGAATAAAGACAATGTGGAGAATGTCTAGATAGAGAATATATTAATATCAAACTAGCTTTTTTTTTTTTTTTTGAAGAAAATCTTAGGATCTGATAGAGCTTTTAGGAGCCATCTCCAGTACTTTGGGAGGTCCTTGGACGGCTATGGAGATTTAAATGGAGATTCCATCACTGATGTGTCCGTTGGTGCTTTTGGTCAAGTGGTTCAACTCTGGTGAGTCCCTGAGAGCCAGAATTCAGCAGATTCGGCACTGTGTCCTCCAAGTTATGATATGTGTGCTGTGTAATAACGTCCACTTACTTGTTTGCATTTGCCTTTCAGGTCACAAAGTATTGCTGATGTAACTGTGGAAGCTTCATTCACACCAGAAAAGATCACTTTGTTGAACAAGAATGCTCAGATACTCCTCAAACTCTGCTTCAGTGCGAAGTTTAGACCTAGTAGGCCAAACAGTCAAGTGGGTGCGTGGACCTGAAATAACCTGTACTGGGATGGGTTTGCTTATGGAGTTTCAGCCCTAAATATAACCAACCTATGTTTTGGTTTGTAGTCTAGAGAGACAGGTTTACTTGCAGAGTTTTAGTCCTAAATATAACCTATGTTTTGGTTTCTAGACCCAAAGAATTAAGGTCTTTAGTTGTAGACCCTCAAATTGCTGTGCATTTGAAGTGCCTTACAATGGTTCATTAGGCATGGAGAGTTTTAGATCTTCCCCCCTCAACTCTAGAAGGTGACATTCTGCTGCTGAACATTATAATCTCTGTGGCATAATCATGGGCTCTCAAGAGTCCATCCTCTGGGTCGGCGCCGTGGCTCACTTGATTAATCCTCCACTTGCAGTGCCGGCATCCCATATGGGTGTTGGGTTCTAGTTCCGGTTGCTCCTCTTCCAGTCCAGTTCTTTGCTGTGGCCTGGGAAGGTAGTGGAAGGATGTCCCAAGTGCTTGGGACCCTGCACCTCCATGGGAGACCAGAAGGAAGCACCTGGCTCCTGGCTTCAGATTGGCGTGGCGCCGGCCATTGCCACCATTTGGGGAGTGAACCAATGGAAGGAAGACCTTTCTCTCTCTCTCTCTCTCTCACTGTCTATAACTCTACCTGTCAAATAAAAAAAAAAAAAAAAAGAGTCCATCCTCTGTCTCTTACCCACAGTTTCCTTACTTAATCATTAGGCATACACAGACTAAGTGGGCTGCCTCTACTCTTAAATGAGTATGTCGTATTCTGGATATATCATAATCTAGATAGAATATGTTCAGTCACATTTTTCAAGTGTTATTCCTATTCTTGAGGAATTAATGAGCATGAAATATTGAGCAAAAAAATGCAAAGCAATATATAATTTCTACCCATTATTTTAAATTTTCTAAATAATCCAGAAAGGTGAACAAAATTCTGAAATATATCGCACCAGATGGGAGTGTGAGAAAAACACTGAGGGCACACCGGGTTCTAGTCCCGGTGGGGTGCCAGACTCTGTCCCGGTTGCCCCTCTTCCAGGCCAGCTCTCTGCTGTGGCCAGGGAGTGCAGTGGAGGATGGCCCAAGTGCTTGGGCCCTGCACCCCATGGGAGACCAGGAGAAGCACCTGGCTCCTGCCTTTGGATCAGTGCGGTGTGCCGTCCGCAGCACGCCGCCCGCGGCGGCCATTGGAGGGTGAACCAACGGCAAAGGAAGACCTTTCTCTGTGTCTTTCTCTCTCACTGTCCACTCTGCCTATTAAAAAAAAAAAAAACAGCAGGAATTGTCATCTTCTCTCTCTGTCTCTGTCATCTTTCCAGACATGGCTGAAGGACCTGTATCCTCTCTAGAGTCTTCACTAAGTGCTCTCTCCCACCTTCATCTCCCCTGCCCCAGTGACAGTTGACTTAAATGCTGTCTTTCATTCGTTGCTGTCTTATGGGTTCTAATCCCACTTCCATCAGATTTTGGCTCTCAACTTCAGAACCTGTGGTTCCTACAGGGTTTTAATTAAGTGCTAAAAAAAGTTAAACCTATTTCAAAACCCAAAACTTAAAGACAAGTTATTTGCCATGACTCATAGCGAGAAATAAATTGGATAAGAACACAAAGTAGAAATTTGAGTCATATCTTGGCACAATTTCCTTATTTTGCCACTTTTTATACCCATTTTTAGGCTTTTATCAAGTGTTCAAACCCAACTTTAAGCAGCATAATTCACAGATCTGACTTATAGCACACATCCATCGGAACAATGATGATTGTGAAGTCAAAATCTGCCATACAAACACTGAGTTGCTAGTCTGCATTCAATTGGAAATACAATCACTGGCAGAAATGCTTGGCTGGCCAGCTTCTCTGGCCCTGAAGCATGAGTGCACTGACATCATGTTCCTCCTACTTTTTGACTGGTCTTCAATGCTTCTGTTCTGCACACTCAAAAATTATACTTTCAGGCAATTTTCTTTCCGTTGGCCGGCTGCCACGATTTCTTAAAATGAACATCTATCCTCTGAGCCTTCAGGTCCCAACAAACAAGCCAGATCATAGTCATTTGTCACTCCGTGACCTGGCAATAATAGTGTATAAGCCATGAATCCTGTCTCCACAGTGGTGACAAATGAATTTATAAGGCATATGATTGCAATTATTTATTGCATCAGGTGCACACTCCAATGTAAGATTAATAACAATAAAAATTAATAAAGTGCCTGTGAGACTAAACATTTTTACCAAGCTGCTTAAAAACACCAAAAAGTATAATCTTATACATTTTGTCCTATTTATACAGTCACCTCCCTGCCTTTATTTCCTCATTGCTTCTCTTTAACCTCTATTTTTAGTTCATTTGAAGTTTTTATAGTCAATTTATCTTTGCTGGCCTCTTTAAGGAAACAAGAAAGATGATATAAAATCTCCAGTAGATACCTTAAACGTAACATGGAGAATTAATGTTATGGAAGTACATTCAACATTTAAAACACTGAAAAGTAATAAGATAGAGTAGCTGCGAATGAGGCTGTAAATGCTATGAATAGCATCAGATGCTCTTTCTCGTATTTGGACACACTGGTCGTGGGCTGCAGCTAAAGGTCATCATTCCAACAGGTCAGATAGTGACTACTGGCAGGTTTTTTATTTTATTTTATTTTTGATTTTTCACTTCCTTGGCTTGACATTTTTTTTAATCAACAAAGAAATAGAGGTTCAGGGTCTGGCGCTGTGGCACAGCGGGTTAACGCCCTGGCCTGAAGTGCCGGCATCCCATATAGATGCTGGTTAGAGTCCCGGCTGCTCCACTTCTGATCCAGCTCTCTGCTACGGTGTGGGGAAGCAGTAGAAGATGGCCCAAGTCCTTGGGCCTCTGCACCCACATGGGAGACCCGGAAGAAGCTCCTGGCTCCTGACTTCGGATCGGCACAGCTCCAGCCATTGCAGCAAACTGGGGAGTGAACCATCGGATGGAAGACCTCTCTCTCTCTGACTCCTCTCTGTGTAACTCTGACTTTCAAATAAACTCTCTGAACCTCTATTTCTTTTTTTTTTTTTTTAAAGATTTAAGTAAATTGTCAAAGTTAGATTTCATTCATGAACTCTGTGGATTTTTCTTTTTTACTTTTTTAAAAAATTTATTTGACAGGTAGAGTTAGAAAGAGAGACAGAGGGAAAGGTCTTCCTTCTGTTGGTTCACGCCCCAAATGGCTGCTATGGCCGGCGCTGAACCTATCCAAAGCCAGGAGCCAGGTGCTTCCTTCTGGTCTCCCATGTGGGTGCAGGGGCCCAAGCACTTGGGCCACAGCAGAGAGCTGGACTGGAAGAGGAGAACCGGGACTAGAACCCAGTGCCCATATGGGATGCCGGCGCCACAGGCGGAGGATTAACCAAGTGAGCCACGGCGCCGGCCCCTGGATTTATCATTTAAGTCAAGTCTGTCTGATTCCAACTTTTCTGCTACCATATTTCATGCCTTTCTCCACGAAAGCTTCTAGAATATGCCAGGCACAGTACTTGTTCCCTTAGACTATCTAAATTACTCCCCACAGTTCGAGTTGCTTCGCATGTCTACACGGGTCAACTAGTCTAAGTCCTCCACTTGGCGGCGCCTAGACAATGGGCTTCTAGTCCCACGGTTTTGAAAAACTTAACGGGCGGAGGAGAGTTGCAAATATCCTAACTAAATTGGAAGATCCCGCATCCCATATTATATTTCAGAAATAAATTGCCCTATGCTAGGCAATAAACTATGGCTAGTCGCCCTAACTTTTTTCCAAGTCATCTGGCAATCCAATCCCCCGGAATGGTTAGAAGGCTTGGCCCTGATATTAATTTTTATCAAGGTTAACT